AAGTGAAAAGATGGCTCCTGTTTCACTTACACCTGCCAGATTGAGGAGGAACATGTTTGATGGGCAGAACTCAGTTTGTTTCCAAAACACTATATGCAAAATCATGTGGGAAATGTGGGTTTTAGCACTTTAATTTTTTCCAAATAGAATATGGAATGGGAATTGAAAGAGCTAATCATGATAGTTACCATAACCAGCCACTAGCAATGTGACCTTGGGCAAGTTTACTAATCTTTCCAATTCTTAATTTCTATAAAATAGAGATTATAATCATACCTCATAGAATTAAATACAATATAGTACATCTTACATGCTCATTCAATGCATGCTAACCATCATCATTGATTTTCCAAACTGAGGTATGGTGAAAGAAGATTAGCAGATGTTCCACAAGTGAAAGATAACAAAAAAATAATTAGAAAGGAGAGAAAAAATAATTTGGAGGGGAAAGCAGAGGCATTACTTTGGAATAATTAGCATTTACTCAATGTCAAGAAATGGGAAACAAAGATGTGAAAAACACTTACTCAACATATTAAGTATTGAACAAAATGGTTGATGCTATGGACATTGTGTCCTTTCAAAATTCACAGGTTGAAGCTATAACCTGTATTGTAATGGTGGTGTTTGGAAATGGCAGTCTGGAGGTAGGTATATCATGAGAAGAAACCTCATGATGGGATCATTGCCCTTATAAGAAGATACAGGAGAGAACTATTCCTTCACCATGTGAGGAATAGCAAGAAGATGGCCTTTTGCAAGCCAGAAAGAACCAAACAGGCCAGCACCTTGATCTTATACTTCTCAGCCCCCAGGACTGTGAGAAATACATTTCTGTTGTTTAAGCCAGGGGTCCCTAATCCCTGGGCTATAGACAAGCACTGGTCCCTGGCTTGTTAGAGACTGAGCTGCACAGCAGGTGCGCAAGTCAGCAAGTAAAGCTTCATCTGTACTTACAGGCACGCCCCCTCACTTGAATTACCACCTGAGTTCTTCCTCCTGTCAGATTAATGGTGGCATTAGATTTTCATAGGAGCTTGAACTCTATTGTGAACTGCACAAATGAGGGATTTATCTAGGTTGCACACTCTTTATGAAAATCTAATGCTTGATGATCCGAGGTGGAGCTGAGGTGGTGATGCTGGACTGGGGAGTGGCTGAAAATACAGATCATCATTAGCAGAGAGGTTTGACTGCAGAGAGACTATAATAAATCAGTTGCTTGCAGACTCATATCAAAGCTCTATCAGTGAGTGGCAAGTGACAAGCTGCATCTGGTGGCAGGCTTTAAGCCAGAATCCAACACATATTAGTCCTCAGGTGGCCCACCCTTTATTTTATTTACCATTTCTGCCCATGCCTCTTTCCTGCACTGTGTACTTGTCTCAGTCACAGTTTTGTTAAGCCCACAAGGTAACCCCAGCCAAAATGAGTGAAAACAAGTATCACTGGAGAGCTACTTTGGAAAGGGGGAAAGACCCAATGATGAGATAACAGAAGATGCTAAGACTGCCAACAAAAAGAAAGCTGCATTTAAAAGAATCAGGAAAACTGAGTTGGTCAATTTATCAGCATATGCACAGATGGAGCATCTGCCGTGACTGCACAGCCTTCTGGTTTCACTACTTGGGCAATGAGGTCGCATCTGAATGTGAGTCTATGCACTGTGTCATCCATAGAGAAATGATGGCTAGCTGAAAAATGTCACCTGAACTTAACAATGTTTTGCAGGATGAGATTAAAATTATCAACCACATTAAAGTATATGTACTTAAATTACGTCTGTTAGTGCAGTTCTGTGAAGAGATGGATGCGGAGCATACACATTTTCCTTTATACCCAGGAGTGAGATGGTTTTCTAAAGGTAGATCTCTGGCCAGAGTTTTTGAGTTATGAGAGCTGCTCCAGAGGTTTCTTTTAGAAAATAAGTCACCACTGGCAGCACATTTCAGTGACATAGAATGGGTTGCAAAACTTACTTACTTGTATGACATATTCAACCTGCTCAATGAACTCAAGCTGTCACTTTAGGGGAGAACTACAACTGGGTTGAGGTCACCAGAGAAAGTAGCTGCATTCAAAGCCAAACTGGAATTACTGGGGTGATGTGTTAACATTGGGATTTTTGACCTGTTTCAAACATTAGCAGAGATTTTGAAAGAGACTGAGCCAGTGCCTTCTTTCTCCCAGCTGGTGCATGAAATCTCAGCTTTCAGAAGAGTTTGAGCGTTCCTTTCAACCACAAAAGACCTCTAAACTGGGAAGGAATAGAGCCATGACCCATTTGTGAATAAGCCAGGTGAATCAACTTTGTCCGTGCTAGAACAGGATCAACTGCTTGAGATCTCAAATGATGGTGGTCTTAAAAATATGTTTGAGATAACTTCAAATCTTCATACATTCTGGATTAAAGTCCATTAAAGGTGGAATGTCCTGAGATTGCCACAAAAGCGCCGAAAAGCCTGCTTGTGTTTCTAACATCCTATCTTTGTGAAGCAGGATTTTCTGAAGTGACAGCAATCAAAACAAGATTACAGAGTAGACTGGACATAAGCAACATACTTTGGGTGTCACTGTCTCCCATCACCCTCAGATGGGACTGTCTAGTTGCAGGAAAGCTCAGGGATCCCACTGATTCTGCATTATGGTGAGTTGTATAATTATTTCATTATATATTACAATATAATAGTAATAGAAATAAAGTGCACAACAAATGTAATGCACTTGAATCATCCCAAAACCGTCCTCCACTCTGGACCCATCTGTGAAAAAACTGTCTTCCATGAAACCAGTCCCTGGTGCCAAAAAAGTTGGGGACAGCTGGTCTAAGCCACCTAGTCTAACTTATTTTGTTTTAGCAGCCTGAGCTAAAGTTCACTTTTATCCATTAAGAGATGGAAGTTTGTGACCTTGCCCTTGTCTTCATATTTTCATCATGTTTAAACCAGTCCACCCCTTTCTGCCCCCTCCAAAACAAACAAAGAAGAAAAACCTCTCTTCCCTCTAGATGCTAGAGGGAAACATTCTCCTACCTGTTATGAATTTAACATCCCCCTGACTGTTATGAATTTAATTTTCGCTCTCCCAGCCCATTCATATGTTAAAGTCCTAACTCCCAATAACTCAGAATGTGACTATTTGGAGATAGGGTTGTTAAAAAGGTAATTATGCTAATACGAGGATTTAGGGTGGGATCCAATCTATTATGACAGGTGTCTTTATAAGAAGAAGAAATAGAGACATAGGCATACACATAGACATATATAGAGAATGCCATGTGAACATGAACATGGCCATCTATAAAACAAAAAGAGAGGCCTCAGAAGACACCAATCCTGATCTTGGACTTGGAGAACTGTGAGGAAATCAACTGTTGAGGAAATCAACTATTGTTTAAGCCTCCCAGTCTGTGTATTTTTATGACACCCCTAGCAAACCAAGGTACTGTCCTAACACCTTTCTTTAGAAAAGTTTTTAGAGAAATATCCTTTATTTTTCAACTTCTGCTGTATCTCTGAACTAGTTTCCCTCAATATTTTTTAATTATTTTACTTACAGGCCCTGCAATATTATCAATTTTCTTTTTATGGGTCTTCTACTGTCATTATTCTTACTACGCAGGTAAATGTCCAATATTCGGTAACATGATAGGAAGTCTCACAGCTGCAGGATAAACTTGGCATGTACTCCCATCTTTTCAGCAATTTTGGGGAAAATGTTGAATAATTTATCTGCAAGTTAATCTAGCAGATTTCAAAGATATTACTTGTTTATAGTGAGTTGCCCTAAATGAAAGTGTTTACTCTCCTCTACAGTAGGGCTTTTTCATTTATCACTTAGACAGCCTTCTATTGCTGCATGTAATACTTATTCAGTCGTTCTCTGTATGACATGAACAGAGAGGCAAGGTGTGAAACCAAAGATAAGACTATCTATACAGCTAAGGAGTACTCCTGAAAGGCTGAGGGGACAGAGATTTTTAGTTTAACTCTGAGATTTTCTGCTTTTGGGATTTAAAGTCTAATTCGTATGTTAGATTGAGTGCTCTCCCAGTTACTTAATCTGTGACCTGAAATAATGATATTATGTGCTATGAGCAGAGTAGTGGAGATAAGGAAGTTTGTCTCCCCGGGTCAACTGCTCAGGTGTACACACCTGCTATCTTCCCAGTGTCTTGACTCACCTCAGCTCTTTTCCCTGCTCCATGTGCTGTTGCCACATGGAAGCCAAATTCAATAAACTTCAAGCTAGGGCCCCACCTAACATTTGTATTGCTTTTTGTTTTTTTGAAGTTGGTTACCTTCAAATTTATTAACCCATGCAGTCTTTTTGGCACTTCCTTATTGTGTATGGGGGGGGGTAGGACCAGAGACTTTCTTGTGTCTTGTTAGTCCTCTGAACTAGAAGACTTTTAATACAGTCCCTTAACACCTTGGACCTAATTTCACACCTCTGGGAAATACGAATAGCCAAAAAGCTAGGGTAGAAGTGACATTAGTTATTCCTCACAATCGTAATTCCCATTCGGGGGCCTTGTAATGCTAGCGCCCTTCAAGGAACAAAGCAGACTCAATAAAAATTGCAACAGGTTTCCAGAAATAGTTTATCAAAGCCTTTGACCCAAGCCCATGATGTCCAGAGTTTGGAATTCAAGGTTTTCTCCTAACAGGAAGATCAGTCTATCGTTTCTTCCAGCACACTCCCTAGGCTAATTATTAGGATCCCTGGGAAATGCAGAAGGCGGCGAGATAACGTAGAAAGAAAAAATGTGACGTATGCGACCAGCTTTCAGCCCGCTCCCACCCGCAACGGCTAAAATCAAGTACCACTTCCGGTCCTGATGCTTCGGGTTAGCAGGACCTGGAGGCTCCGCCCTCCGGCGCCCCGAGCCGCTCGCGTGGCTCTCAACGGCGGGCGGGGCCTGCCGCAGGCACCGCCTGAGCGTCAACGGCCTACGCGGTGACGCGATGCGCCCCTGGATGCTGCCGGGCCGCCCAGCTCCTGGGCCCGCCTCCGTCAGCCCGGCCCTTCCCACTGGTTCTTCAGAGTTCTACAGTCAGACTGTGGCATCTGGCAGCGCGGAGCGCTCAGTTTCTGCAACCTCGGGGACGCAGCTTGCGCGCCGCCGGCACACCCCTACTTTCTTACCCCCGGCGCCGCTGCCTCAGCTCCGCTCGCCTTCGCGCTGCCCTGCCCTCTGCTACACGCCCTCAGGGACATGGCACAAGCTCAGGCACACTGCTCTAGCGCTCGGGGCTCCGGAGACGGCGAGATGGGCAAACCCAGGAAGGTGGCTCTCATCACTGGCATCACGGGCCAGGTGAGTGCGGAGGCGGGCGCCTGAGCCGGGCCTGCTGCTGCCAGGGCACGTGCTCTACCTATCCCCGTGCTCTGGCTTCCTAAGTTCCTGGAACAGCCTTTTCGGCGTCCCGGAAGGCGTGCTTTGCTCGAGAGGTCGGAGGCAAGGTGTGGCTTGTGGGGAGTGTGCTATTTGCAATGAATGTTTCTGATGCTCCACTGGGGTATGGGAGCGTATAGTCTGCGTGGGACGTGGTCCTCACACCTGAGCAATTAGTGGTGACTGAAGTCCTTGTTTTTACAAGTCCTCTCGGGTGCACTTGGAATTTAGTTCTTTGCGCATCCTAGTGCCTTGGAGGGAAAACCATAGTTTATTAACGTAGGGAAAAGTATCTGTATGTGTATGGAGTCACACTGGGGCTCCTTATCTGCTAATAGTTGGGAAGTAGGGAAGGAAGTTTCTTGCTGTTTTGGTTCCACCTCACCAGATTTTCATATAGAAAACAGAAAATGACAAAGTAGTGCTGTGGAGTTACAGACCAGGAAATGCTTTTTTCTTTTTTCAAGCATACTTCACAGAAACTTTAAAATTTCACAAACTTCTGAGATTCGTGTTCACACATACCAGGTTTCCATTTCCAAAGAAATGAGTTTTCTGACTGAGGTAATCACGAGAGGAGTCCTGAATGCCGGAACCTCACGTGCGGGGTGAGACCATGGCCAGTTTGTGACAGCCATCCCTTAGAAGTATTGCTACAGGTAGGGACTGAGTACTGTGTCCTGTCAAGCTATGCTGTTTTTCATTCAGTGGCAATGAAATAATTTTGTGTATTTTTGTTTAAAAAAATGTAATGGCTGTGCCCCCGGAGATCTGGCAGTAGACAGTGTTTCTGTAATAAAGGTGACGACAATAGCTAATACATATTGTACTTATGTTTTAGTCAACTGACTAATGTTATTAACTCATTTAGTTTTCACAACTGCTCTCTGAGGGGGTATTCTCACCTTACAGATGTGGAAACTGAAGCCATGGGAGTTTGATTTGCCTGAAGTCAAACAAGTTGCCTGGAGACAACTGGGAAGTGTCCAGTCAGGATTCAAACTGTGTTCTCAAAGCTCTCCAGCATTAGAGAGAAGTTGAAATTAGCCAGATGTAGAGTCAAAAAAGATTAGACAATTTTAAGGACTGGATATCTGATTAATTTCTGGTTATTTCATGCATCTGACTTTGTTTAAGGTAATTCCAATATTCAAGTATTTGAAAATGGTGGTTAGATTATGGATTTGCGGTTGAGAAAGAGAACCCTTAAATCAGGCAAGGGCTTACTACTGTCCATCTTTTTCTGATGCTGAGTACTCTTCTGCAGGTGGTTCCCCCTTTTCCGGTTTCTTAGATTAGGTCTGAAGCTTAAATGTTTACTAAGCTTACATGAGCTCTTGAAGATAAATTTTTTTTTTTTAGTATCATGAAGAAGTTAACATATTAATGTAAATCATTGGTATGACTTAACACCAATTTAAGTGACCAGCAGTATGAATCAATGCAGTTAGAAATGGAACCTTATTTAGAGCTTTGAACACAGCCTTCTGGTTAGTACTGAGTGATAAGAGATGTGCCCGCCCCCCCCCCCCCCCCCCCACCAGCTCTAGTCTGTCTTGTAGATTGCTAGGGGGACAGTCTTCCTTAAGCACATATTCAGCTTGCTACTCCCTGACCAGACATCTTTGGCTCTCCATATTATTTTCAGCTTTAAACTCTTGCTTGAGTTTTAGTTTCCTTTTAATCTCTGCACCAATCCCACATCCTTCCAGCATCCACCTTCTGCATTGTACCTTTACTTGTTGGGTGTTGTGTTGGCTTCTGTAGCCCCTGGTCTGTATGGAATTTTGTAGCTGCCGTATAAATCCTTGATGAAGGAATTTACTGCTCTGCTTTGCATTTATCTTCTAGGACACTGAGTTCCAATATGAGTATCAAGGATCTCTGGAGGACTTTGAAGTTAATATGAGGGGTCCGAAAATCCATACCTTGTCTATTTTAAAAATAATCTTGGTGAGGGCTTACTGAGCTACTCATTCTGCTAAACATTTGATATGTCTACTGAAGAGGCAGACAGTTTTTATCCTCATTCTTCATCTGGTTAAGTAAGGTTAAATACGTTCCCTGAAAGTACACACCTAATACCAATTGTCAGAACTGAGATTTGAACCCAGGAGTTGCTCTAAGTCATTTTGTTTGATGTGTGTGGTAAGCCACACACATTAAATTACAGCTGTGTGGAGGGGGGTAGGGGGGAGAGAGAGAGATTGTTGAGATTGAGATTGTTTTACTTTAAGAAGAGCCCTCAAAAGAGGTGGAACCTCTGCTCTGGCCCTTAAGGTTATCATGGCAATTGTGCCCAGACAGGCTCTTAAATGGATTTATGAATTCCCAAATGAGAAAAAGTGCAGATAGCCAGTGTGCCCTGTCTGTTCTACATCACTAGTATTTACTGTTAAGACTATACTTTCAGGGATCATTTCTATAGTTTGTTGCTAGTATTTACTCCCAGGCTTCTTAGTCTAGCTTTCTCTCTGCTATGTATTCTTGACAGAGTAGTCGTGCATCATTATCCAAAGTGTTTACCTTACTAAATCACCTTAAAGAAAACCAGTGTGTGGCTTTGCATTACAGCTCCATTGTCTAATTATGCTTGTTCTTTACTCATCTATGGAACTCGTACTGTTCTTTGAATACTGTCACCTTGTACATCATTGGAGTTGTTATCTTGTGACCAAACATCCTCACAAGTCTTACTCCTTTTAATTCCACTAGAAGCCTCTGCAAATGCTAATTCTGTTAAAAGCAGCTATTCTGGGAACTGTATATGTATTTATATATGCAATTCCAGTTGGCTACAGGTAATTTACTATCTTATTTTTTTTGTTTCTAAACTGCTTTAGGATGGTAACTCTGAATGGGCTTTCAAAAATGCTGAACTTTTCCTGTTAAAAGAACAGACTGTGTGTCTGTTGTGTTCAAGGCTTGTTTTGATGCTGCTGGGAATATGAAGAACTGTAAGATGTCCTCTCTGCCCATTAGAATTGCACATTCTTTGAGGAACTTAAGACGATGTACATGAAAAGATAATACACGTGAAAAAATCAGTATTGTAAAAATATATTAGGCTCTGAATGAATGGTTCATTCAACCTCAGGAGTCTAGGAGAAGCTATTGAATGCTAGAAATAGCAGGGACTGTTGGGAGTGAACAGCATGCATAGGAATACAGAAAAGGGAGAGTTTCGGGGGACACTGAGGAAAAAATAGTAAAACCAAAGGAAATTAAATTATTAGGTTATTTATGCATTTGCTCATTTTCAAAATAATTTTGAGGTGGCTTCAATAAAAATAACACATCACTAGACCATCATACAAAGAATAAAAGAAACAGGAATCTGCAGTGAAGGCAATAGAAAGATGCAGGTAGTGTACTAAAACCCAAAGCTGAGGATAGCTGCTGTCAGAAGGGCATAAAATTCATCTTTGACTTTCGTGACAGTTAAGACAAAGTGGGTAGGTGAGTGCAACATTTTATTAGTACTAAGCTCTCAGTGGAATAACAACAAAGTCAGAATAATATGATGCCCGATGTGTTCCATAGTAGTTTTTTCAAGTAGGCAGAGCCATCTTCTTAGGACACTCTTACTACTCCCTAATGGACAGTGAAAGCACACTTTTGGGTAGGTGGAGACTTCAAAGAATTAAATAGCTAGTGTTTGGATTTTCCCTTTTCTAATACTTATATCAAGCTGATGTCTGCCAGGAGGGCCGGCAAGTTGGAACTGTAGATTACTTTGTCTGGTATTTTTAATAGTAAGGTTAATGTTGGTGTTTTACATGGAAGCATATGACATGGTGAGGTCCTTCCCACCTGCAGGTAGGCCTAGAGTTTCCTTAGGAAGTGGTTTAGAGCTGGTCAAACATTTAAGCAAGTACCAATTCAAGGTTCTGGAGTTGTACCTTGATGCCTGGAGGACAAAACATTTATCTTTAAATAGTTGAGAGTTAGTCATGGTCAAGAGGAGTTAACTTGTCCATGGTTGGAAGACAAGTTTTTGGTAAAGACTTGCATAGATGAAAAAGATTGACTCTGAGTTATTACGGTTAGATTATTTAAACCATATTACTTTGTTTCAGAATTTTAATTTTATGGCTTTTTAAAATTTTCACTAATTTCACCGAGTTCTTCAGCTTATTCTAGCTGCCATAAAACAGTCTTTTAGTTACTGATGTTCATTGTCTTGCAGAAAACTTGCCTGGAAACTGTAGAAGTCTGTACAATTGGGAATAAAATGTTATGTTGTACTGCTTCTTAGCTGAGTAGTAGTAAGGCATTGTCAGGGGAGAATTGGATAGTATATACCTGACAGATAAATTGCAATTTAGGAAATGAAATGATTTGTTACAATTTCATATTTAAAGGACTTGGAATATACCCATTTCAGGGGAAGAAAATAATATGTCCAGTTAAGTGTGATATAGTTCCTACTATTTTTGTACTCATATTAACCACTAAAAGAAAAAAAGAAAAGATATTCCCTTTGCATACATGTTGTGATTTTATAAATGGAGTTGTTAATCACCATTATGTAGAGGAAGAAAGGAGACTGAAAAAGTGTGATTTCCCCAGGTTACAGAGCAAGTGCCAGAGTTAGGATTAAACCCCAGATTCTTGTCTTTACATTGTCTTAGGACTGTTCAGCACTGTCCTTCACTAACAACAAGAAAGAGAGGCTGCTTTGAGCCAGAAAAATTGGAGTAGAAGACTATGTAGTAGTAAAATGTATATTATAGAAATAGAGTTGCACAATAACAAATGTACATCTGGATGAGTAATCAAAGCTATTTCAATATTTAAGGCAAAGGTAACTTTGGATAAAATTTAACATCTTATTGTAACAATATGTGTAATTTTGAAAGATTATGAGGCTTACTGTAATTACATAAGAATCTTTAGTATTTGATCTACAGTGGAAAACT